GGGGGGGGGGGGGTGGGTCAATAGTGTTATATTTGGATTTAACTTGATGGCTTGTACATTTCATAGCTTCTGTAGGCTGAGCTTATTGCACACATCAGGGACTCCCTGCATCCCTCCATTTCCCCCTTGCCAGCAGCTCTGTGTGCGTCCTCATTCCCACTTACCCCCATGCCAAGGTCCCCAAAATTACCATGTGGGAGGGGTTCTGTATACCCCCATTCCCACATCTCTCTATAGCAGGGTTCCCCAATCTCCCCCTGCAATTGCAGGGGCTGGGTATGCCCCAATTCCCCATTCTCCGCTTCCACCTCAGGGGCTCTCTCTGCACCCTATACCCCTCTATGCCAGGAGTTGTGTGCCCCCTTCCCCCAAACTGGATTTCCCCCACTAGGTTCTGTGCAGTCCCACTTCCCCTTCCTCCCCCCCCATACCAGAGGCTGTGTGCGTGCCCCCACTTCCCCCTCTCCCTATTTTTGGTCTATGAGAAGCTATTTAGGGTGTCAAAGGTTAAATTCTGGTGGTAGGACACACAAATGAGCTAGGGGCACTGTTATGGTGGAAGGAGTTAATGGCTTCCATCAACCAGTTCTTTAGTCTATAGACAATTGCAGAGTTGCTTGAAGCAGCAGCTGTGCTAAACAACTGGCAAGGCTCCATGTGTCCATCTGTCATCCCTCCTCCCATTTTCCCTTTTGGTTTTCCAGTTTTCTCAAAAGTGAACAAGTTGCTGGCCCTCAGCACCTCAAACATTCCCTGAAAAGTTGGAAATGATTGCATGCAGTGTTCAAAAGTTATCACATTACATATGAACAGAAATGCTATCAAACTGAGACCTTCACCCAGTTAAAAAGCAATCACGTGAAAAGAATAAAATTGCAACTTCTCCCATAACATGGAGTACAACAAAACATTTTTAAAAATGGAGAATTACAAATTTTTAAGATTCATGCTGGTTTAATTTTAAGTACATGATTTTGGGGAAATGCTTGTTTCTTGTGTTCAGCTGAACCCCCAAAAGCTAGTTCAAACTCTTGATGACCAAATGGCCCATGTTTTCTGGGATGGCCCTGGTTTTGAGGGTCCAGCTTGGCATCTCTGCTCATGCCACTGAAAATTTGTCCTGACTTAAGTGTAACTCCCCTGGCTATCTAAACTCAAAACCACATGTTGCTGAATTTGTTTCACATAGCATTGCCTCTCAGCTCCATCTCTCTCGCTGCCTCCCAGCTGTTCAGCACAACAGCTGCAAGATGTAGCAGGACTGCAGTGGTGGCCCCCAGCTCAATAGGGAAAGGATCTACATCTGTTTATTTGGGGTGAAGAGAAAACAGGATGATAGAGGATGCCAACATTCCAAGCATGAAATAAAGGTCTGAGCTGGTGTCAGAGGAGTGTGCACCTGTAGGGTCGGGGAGACATGGTTTAAATACATTTAGGTTAAGATTTTCAAATCTATGAGATTTGCCTGTTAAATTCCCATTATTTTTTTTAAAATGGGAACTGGGTGTCCAAACCCTGAGTGCATCTGAAAAATCTCAGCCTAACCTAAATGGTGTTGGTAGTAGAAAACAGATAGTGGACATGATGGAGTCAATTCACGGAAGAGTGGAAAGTAATTTTGGATACGGGTAAATAGATCAATGTTGGTTAACCATCCTGATCCTCAATTTTGTACGAGTTTTAAAAATACCTGGACAGATATTGTATCTCAGACATGAGATCAAGCCCTAACTCATTTCACAGAAAGGGCAACTGAAAATTGCAATGGATTAAAGATGGGATTTTCAAAGAAGCCTAATGCAGCACGGCATCTAACTCCCTTAAATCTTCTGTGAAAATCCCAACTACAGCCACTACTGACCTGGGCTGAATTCAGACCAGTGCATTAGAGTTGAGAAAGCTCCATTTCCCCCTGTGCTACCACTGCCCTTTTGTACAAGAACACCCAACTTTTACACATCCATTCAATCTAGTTTTATTATTTATCCTGTTTTTAGTATAGCCTTTCCTGGACATAACTTCAGAGTCCTTGTAATGCAGATCGGAGACAGGGCAAATCTTTTAATCTTCAGGCCCCAAATTCTCTCTTACAGTTGATGCTGGTGGAGAGAAAGATACATTTTCCTTTCCTTTAAGGCTCATCTCAAATCATCCCTGTAAAGATAAAGGTTCAGAGATGTATTATGCAGCACACAGTTGCATCTTGGAAACCTAGTTGGTGCAGTGAAGCTAATTCCTCCCAGCTGAGGCCAGCATAGCTCCTAGTGCCTCAGTGCAGGCAATCTTTCAGCTCACATTGAAAAATTACTACCTGGTTACTATAGCCCACTGCCTAAAGTTTACAGAGCAGGTTGTTTTTAAACCCCATTTCTGTCCCCAGAGTCCAGTCCCCTTCTGCCTCTTTGAGTGTCTGACCCCGCAAAATTCAGAAGGTGCTAACGGACGGCCAAACCCATCCAAGAGCACCCTGAGTGAAGAAAGGCCAAGCTTAATCTACGATGACACAAAATCCCACTGCCCATGGCTTGTGGCAGCAAGAGGAACGGTCATCGCGGTCACTTTCCCTTAAATGAACAGCTCTGAGAGCAAGTGGACTTCCCTAGAAAAAACACCCTGTGAATTTCCCCAAATAGCAAACCTTTATTAAGCCGTTACCCCAGTAAAGTTCTGCAGCAGGGAGTCCCTGTTCATATGTGCAGAAAGATATGGCTTTCTGAAAGCACCTGCAGCTTCAGGCACTGAAAGGCAGCCTGGCAATGTTTGAAAGATCAGTTCAGAGACTGTTTGTCACTGAATGAGGAATGCATGATGTACCCTATGCCAGACATTTGTTACCTGCTGGCAAACTATGTCTGCCATAGTACCCTATTTTTGTCCCATACCTCCCCCGATAGTGATATTGGCTGGGGGTACCAATTTGGGACCACACTAAGAAACTGGATGGATACGAACTTCCTGCAGCACTTACATCTGTGATTCCTATAAGGGATCCAGGGTGAGGAAGAAGCGAAACCAGCCAATCTTGTCTTCAGAGTTCTTGCACCTACAGAAGCAAAGAGGAATTATTTCCAGGTAATGTACTTTTTTTTTTTTTAATTTAAAAAGAGCATGCTACCAGCTACAGGGAAAACTCATTTCCGTGTATCTCTGTCCCGCCTACATTTGCACAGAAACCTGATCCATGTTTCTGAAGAGGTCCCCTGAATCTGCTACTTATTCCCCTCACTGACTGGGACTTTACATATGGTTGCCTTGGAAACCATTAGAACATCAGTTTTCCCCCCAATCAGATTACAGCTGCAGGTGTTTGTTTCATTAGTCTGCTCAGGGCATGTGTGTAATCAGGGTAGATCAGGTGAAACACGGACTGAACATGCGGTTCATCACAGCAGACCCCTCCTAGTCCTAAAAGTGGCAATGTGGTTGCCCCTCCCACACAAACCACCACCCAGGACTCTGAGACCTCAAGTGGTTGAGAATTTTAGCTGCTTCCTCACCCAACTTCCTCACATTGCAACATGGATTCCCTGGCTTCCCAACTTCCCCTGCAAGACAGATAAAATCCCTGCATGCATAAACAGGGGAGTAGCCAGTAGAAGCAGGGAGGTGATTTTACCCCTGTATATGGCACTGGTGAGTCTGATACTGGAATACCACATCCAGTTCTGGTGTCCAGATTTTAGAAAGGACACTGAAAAAATGGAGAGGGTTCAGAAATGAACCATAAAAGTGATTCAAGGGCTGGAGAAAATGCCTGATAGTGAGAGAATTAAGTTCAATCTGTTTAGTTTAAATCAAGAAAAGGAAGCTTGAGAGAGGTGACCTGATTACAGTGTACAAGTACCTTCACGGGGAGAAAACACAGGGTCCTATAGGTCTCTAATCTAATGGAGAAAGGCAGAACAAGAACCAATGGCTGGAAGTTAAAGCCAGGCACGTTCAAATTAGAAATAACGCACATGTTTCTAACAGTGAGGGTGATTGAACAAACTCCCAAGGGATGGTGGATTCTCCATTCCTTGCTGTCTTCCAATCCAGACTGAATTCTCTGGTCGGTATTGAACTGGAGATCAGACTAGGCAATCTAATGGTTCCTTCTGGCCTTAAACGAAGATCTGGCTTTTCAATACAGCCATACGAGCAGCTGCTAAGGGCACAGCAGTTACAGACGAGGAAATGGCACAGTGAAGTTACCTGGAGACACTGTGAGGCGAGAGCTAGTGCAGGGAACTATTTTAAAGGCCCATGCGGGGAGAGTGGGGAGAACGGCTGAGTTTTAGAAAGGGAAAGGAGTCAGGGAGTCATAGTGGGGGTTACTAGGTGATGTTCTATGCCCCGCACAATGCAGGAAGTCAGACTAGATGGCCATAATGGTCCCTCCTGGCCTTAAACCTTGACCCCATCTACTATGGGAAATGCCCAGATTTCACTGCAGGCCTGAAACGGAAGCCACACAGGGAGTTCGTGCTTCTCTCCTTCTTTGATGTAGTGGGGTCTTCTCAGGGCACATGTGGCATCAGGGTGGATCAGGTGAAAGATGGTTTGAACATATCGTTCATGATGGCAGACCCCACCCACGCCCTCAAACCCAGCTGGGACATCACCAATGACAAAGACCAGAGGGGTCTCCTGGTCTGAGAAGAAACTTCTTGTAGGCTGGGTCTTCCCTCCACACCAACCCTCAAGATAGCCCCCATGCATCCAATTATGGGCTGTCTCATACAGTAGCACACTTCCCCCAATACCAAGTGTCTGTCCAAGGGGTGCTCATTGTGCCACAAGAGCGAGGATCTTATCCCCAATATTTCTGGAGTCTGAGACATAGGAACATAGGTCTTGCCATGGAAAGTGAAGGATTAAAAAGTGCCTCAAGCACAGGGACAGTTGTGTGGTTACGGTTCTGGACTGGGACATCTGGGATCAGTTCTCAGCTCTGCCACAAACTACCTGGGGGACCTCAAGCAAATCCTTTTAAATCTCAGATTTGGGTACCTAACTCCACTGGGCTCCTTTGAAAATCTCAGGCTTCAGCTCTCTGTACCTCGGTTCCCCATCTGCAATGCTGATACTTCCTGTTTTCCATCCTTTATAACCTAAGTAGACAAAGTCAACAAAAATCTTTGGGACAGGGATGGCCTCTAATGAAGTATTTGTACAAACCCTAGCACAGCAGGGCCTTGAGGCTACAGTGTAATACAACTAATAATAAAACAGTGGATGGGCCCATCAAGTCAAGCATCCTGCCTCTAGCAACACATCCCCGGCAACTTCCTAACAGATCAGAGCAAGCTCTGAAAGCACAGGAGCTGATTATCTTCATCTCAGCTCAGGTAGGCCATAAAACCACTCAGTCCCTTTTCTTTAAGGCCCTACTCAGTTGGAGGCCCTTACCCTACTGTCCTTGGGGCTCAGGTCCAGGATGTTTCATTACAGACCATTTTCAAGATTCAGTTACAGTACTTCATTTTTCCACTTTAGCCCCGATCATTTCATGGGGGTGGGGAGTCAGTCTTCATCCTCCAGCCTCTTCACAATCTGAAACAGGCAAAGAAACATTCATAAGACTAGAGTGTGACCAACACAGCCTCTTCCTCTCCCCTACTGTTCCAGCTACACCAGAGATCAGAGTTGCCACTGGACTCATCTAAACCTAATTCCTAGCACACCACAGCCCAGTTCTACCAGAGCATAGCTAGGCAGAAAGAGATAACACTATACATGGAGGGGAAGATAGCAGGAGTAAAAGGAAGTCACTTCTGGGGTGGAGGGAGGCAGCGAGAGCAAAGTGCAACAGGAGAAGGGAGGGGAATATTTTAGTGGACATCTGGGTAAACTCCCTCCTGATGATTACAAAAGATCACATGGCCCTTTTAACATCCATGGTGAGCAGACAGGATCTCAAATTTTGTTAAGGCCTCAAGCAAAAGACCGAACAGCTTCAGACAAAAAGCATTAATTTATCTGCAGTGGCAGGAGGAAGAGATGAACCAGTCCTGGACAATGAGGACTTAAAATCTGAAGGCCTCAAGACATCTGAAGCCACAAGTCACTCCTACTACACTCCACTGTCACAGCTGAAAGTTGGATTGGTCAACACAGCTGGTAACAGATACTTCAATCAAATCAGAACTGAAAAACATCTGCTACATTACAAAGGCCAAAGCTGAAGGTTTGACATGCCTCAGCCTGCACTATTTGGGGGAAGGGAGATGGTCTGGCAGGCCTAATGCTGCCCTGATCTACCTAACAGGAATACCCTGGAGTCCTCTCTCCAGGTTGGAAATTTTAGGTCTTGCTAAAGCACTTAAAGAGAGGTAGCCAAATAGAACCCAGGAGTCCTGACTCCCAGTCCCCCTTCTCTACAACTAGACTAGATTCCCCTTGCTCTAACCACTAGTCCACACTCCCCCAGAGTTGGGAATAGAACCTAGGAGTCCTAATTCCTAGTTCCCCTGTTCTAACCCATTATAGTTGCCCCTAGATTTTCACAGTTTTGCTGTTATGTAATGTTTAACCCCCTGGGCAGGGATTCTCTGTTCCTCTGTAAAAAGCCAATCTCATACCAGCTCACTGAGCCCCATATCTGGAACGTGGCATTTCTCAAAGCAACCGTTTCCTCCCAGCTCATCAATTCCATTTTCAGTCTAAAATGAAGAGATACAAACATTGATTTAGGATACACAGACCAAAACCTGGCAACCAGACCACATCCAACCCTGCCATAGCTATGTCAGAAAATTGGTGTTTAAAGGTTACACTAGAGACAGGATTGTAAAAGCCTCCACAGCAGGATGTTCCCACCTTTAGGGGTCACCAATAATGCTATACCCACTAAAATTAATACAGTAATAAGTGTTTGTCTTTCTCTAGCTCCTTTCTTCCAAAAATCTCCAGAGGCTTTCAGAGGAGTCTAAGGGAATTAGGCACTTTACTTATCCCCTTAGGCTCCTCTAACAATCCCAGCCCAAGTGCTTTACAAATATTAAGCCTCATCCACCCTGTGAAGTCAATATCATCTCCACTGTATAACTGAGGCACAGAGTGGCAAATCACTTGCCCAAGGTCACACAGCGAGAGGCAGAGCCATGAATAGAACCAAATGAAGGTCAATCTCAATTCACTCTTCTCTAATCAGTAAACTCCACCTCCTCCCAGCACCAGAAACAGAGCTCCCATTATCAACTATCTGAGCACCTCACAATTTCTTCCTGGTGATGTAGGGCATTGCTATTATCCACATTTTACAGATGTGGAATTGAGGCAGAGGGCCAGTTTTTTTAAATGTCTGTGGGCACCTAAAGAGGCAGATTGAAATCAGTAGGGGTTAGGCACCTAGGCACTTCTGAACATCTCATTGTGCATCTATCTGTATCTTTAGATGCCCAAGTACCTATACAAATCTGGCCCAAAGAGACTAAAACTTGCACAAGGTCACACAAGAAGTTTGTGGTAGAGCAGGAAATTAAGCCCATGTCTCCCAAGTCCCAGGCTAGCATCCTAATTGCTGGTTCATTCTTCCTCTCAGCCAAAAGGCTTTACACTTCTAATCTCAGCTCTTCCTGATTTACTTTGGGACTTTTAAAACTAGACTGAACAAAGTGATAGAAAGCAGACTGTAGGGAACAATCTTGCACTAACCCCAAGAAGACAGGCCTGTTAGGCCACACATTCTATGTAGCTCTAACCTTCTGTGTTAGAATAATCCTTAATTGAACCCATTACTGCCCTGAATCAGCCTCCAGACTTTATCCCACTGCTTCATTTGCAGATCCAACTCCCAGAGCAGGGCAGAGAACCTTTCTGTTAAAGCCCGGCTGCTTGCAGCCTATGGCCTTTGCATTCTGTACCTGAAATCCTTTGAGGCTTCATAGATACTGGGCTCTTGGGTATCTTTCTGACCTGCATAAAAATTGTTGGCTCTCTTTATCATGATAAGTGCAAGGAGATGGTGCTACAGATCAGGTAAAAGTTGCAGTCTGGGATCACTCACAGGTTATGAAGTACCCAACCACTAGTAGCTAATAAAGGATAAAAAACAACAATATTCGATAACGTGCGCTTTTTCTAGGAACTCCCATCCAAAGATTTTTGAGTGTTTTATAATCATGAATGAATCAAGCCTCACATGCTTCTTATGAAGTATTATTCACATTGTACAGGTGAGGAAACTGAGGTACAGAGGGGCAAGGGCAAAGTGGCTTGCTCAAGGTCACCACTGGAACAGGGTCAGAGCCAACAGTCAGGAGTCTTGACTCCCAGCCCACCCACCCCCATCATGAAACTGCATTTTTTAAAGGGGGTCCGGATGGCACGTGGGGTTTGGCAAAGGCACTATACAAGTAGATGGAAGTTTTACCACTAGAGTCAGACTGGGCTCAGGACAGCCTCTGAATTCCACCCTGTGTTTCAAAGCCAGCAGAGCTTGCTCAACTTTCTTCTCTTGTAATTAAGCTTCCATTTATTTACTTCAGTGATGCAGCATGCAGTTCCAGCTGCAAATTATAAAGTGGGGAGAATAGCCAAAGCTTTCCCCCAACACGTGGGCCACACACAGCGTGGGCAATTTCACCATTACCAGCAGCAGCATTTTTGAACACCAAGTCAAACCCACTGCCAGCTCACTCCACACCCCTGAAGAGACTGCTAGAACACACAGCAGAAAGCACCGTGTTAACCCAGCCTCCCTCCGCAGCAGGGACATTCTTTGTTCAACTTTCACCAGCTCACCCACCACGTGGTTTTTCCTCTTAAAAACAGATCTGTACATAAAACACCTACTGCTGTTTATGATGGTTTGCCTACGACAGAAGGAATGGGTCTTAGGGCTTTGCTCTCCCAGAGCTGGGAGTAGAATCTACTGGATTAAAGGGCAAAATTAAGCGTCAGAACTCCTGCGTTAGCTTCCGAGCTCTGCAGCACACTCCCTGCGTGCCCTGAAACAAGTCACCAAATCATACAGGGGTGGGGAGAAGAGAGGAGTAGGAGAGAGATCACGAACTCATTCTACAGCATGTGTGACTTCATGCAGACCTGAAGAGGAACCTGCAGACACATAGTAATTTATTAAAACACAGGGACTGCAAAGTCAATGGGGATTTCAGGGGTGTCGCTGAAAATCGCACAGTTTTAACAGAGCACATTCCCACTAATCCCCTGCCTTTGGCCTTACGTAAAGGGCTGGCCTACGGATTCTGAATTCAACCCTAAGGCCAAATTCAATCCACGGGAAAACCTTTCTCCACCACATACAGTTTAACTACATTTATTCCAATCCTAACACATGGGTGGATGGCAAAAATTAAACTCAGAATGGCAAAGGATTCAAACCGAGCTAGAGATCTTGCCACTTACCAAGCACGCTGGTCTGGGAGTACAGGAACAGGATACGTACAGGAAGCATGGTGATGATGAAAGACAGAAAGATGAGAGGAAGTGGTAGGCGGGACAGAGAAGAGAGCAGCTTTGCAATTGGCTGAGAGCATAAACCTGTCAGTCTCTCATTTCCTTGAATCAAAAAGGCGAGATGCCGAAACATTAATCCGTTGAGGCTTCAAACCATGTGGCTACAGACCTTTACAGAGCTGAGTTTGGGAAAATTGTGTGATGGAAATCAGTGGTTTTCTGTGAAATCTCTCAAAAAGATGTTTCAGTCTGTATTAGAGAATGCAATCTTGGGCCAAAATTTGAAAAGCTAGGCTGGAGTTTTTAGAGGAACTGTCCAGAAATCCTGATGTAGGGTCTGTTCAAAAGTGCTGAATAACCCTACTCAACATTTCTGAAAGTCACTTATTTAGGAGGCTAAATCAGGGTGTAGGAATCAAAATTTAGGCTCCTGGTTTTGAAAAATTTAGCCCTGGAATTTTGGGGTCATTTTGATTCCCAAACCCTTTACAAATAGTGTAATATCAATAAAAAAATATTTCACATTTATATAGCATTTGGGATTTTCCTCATTCTGAAGTCCCAGGACTGGAAAATACAGAAGGATACTGGCAATAGAGAGCCAAATTTCAAAAGTAGCTAGGCACCTAACTCCCATAGGGTTAGGCACCTAATTTGCTTAAATGCCTTTGACAATCCTAATAATATATATCCAGATTCAGAGTCAACAGAAGCTGTGGGAGGGATCTGCAATGCAGGACGTCGATAACATTTGTGGGTAATATAAATGTGGGAAATCTTGGCAAAATCGGCAAAGGAAAATAATAAAATCCCTTGTATACAATGTTTCCTACTAGACTGCTCTCTCAATTTCACTGATGTAACCCCATTATCTTCAGTGGAGTTGCTCCAGGTTTAAACTGGTGTATTTCACAATAGAATTTTCCTTTCTGTCTGTCTGTAATACAAAGATAGGTATCATTGTTGCCATTTTATGGGTGGAGAAACAGGCACAGAAAGAGATGAAGGCCTAGATCCTCAAAGGTATCGAGGCATATAACTCTCACTGGGAATTAAGCACCTAAATATCTGTGAGATCTGGGCCCAAGTGACTTGTCTGAGTCACTGGCCAAGATGAGAATAGAACCCAGATGTCGTGATTCCTGTTCCCATTGTAACCACCCACTCACTCACCTCCTAGAGCCCGGTATATAACCCAGAGGTCCTGACTTCCGTGTCCTCTTTTTCTGACCACTAAATTAGCTTTTCCTCCCAAAACTGGGAATAAGACCTTGGAGTCTGGACTTTCAACTTCCCTCACATACTTTGCAGTGAAACCAGAGGCAAAGAATTGATTTAGCTTCTCTGCAATGGCCTTATCTTCCTTGAGTGCTCTTTTAACACCTCGATCCTCCAGTGGCCCCACTGATTGTTTGGCAGGCTTCCTGCTTTGTATGTACTTAAAATTTGTTTTAAGTACATGCTTTGCATGTACTCAAAAATGTGTTAGTTTTTGAGTCTTTGGCTAGTTTCTCTTCAATTTCTTTTTTGGACTGCCTAATTAAACTTTTACACTTGACCTGCCAGAGTTTATGCTCCTTTCTATTTTCCTCAGTAGGATTTAACTTCCAGTTTTTAAAAGATGCCTTTATGCCTCTAACTGCTTCTTTTATTTTATTGTTTAGCCATGGTGGCACTTTGTTGGTCCCCTTACTGTGTTTTTTAATTTGGGATATACATTTAATTTGAGCATCTATCATGATGTTTTTAAAAAGTTCCCATGCAGCTTGCAGACATTTCATTTTTGTGACTGTACCTTTTAATTTCCATTTAACTAGCTTCCTCATTTTTGTGTAGTTTCCCTTTCTGAAGTTAAATGCTACTGCGGTGGGTTTCTTTGGTGTTGTTCCCGCCCCCCAGGATGTTACATTTAATTATATTATGGTCACTATTATCGAGTGGTTCAACTATATTCACCTCCTGGACCACATCTTGTGCTTCACTTTGGACTAAATCAAGAATTGCTTTTCCTCTTGTGGGTTCCAGGACTAGCTGCTCCAAGAAGCAGTTATTCATGGTGTCTAGAAACTTAATCTCAGCATCCTGTCCTGAGGTGACATGTACCCAGTCAATATGGGAATAGTTGAAATCCCCCATTACTATTGAATTTTATATTTCTATAGCCTCTCTAATCTCTCTGAGCATTTCACAATCACCATCACAGTCAGGTGATTGGTAGTATATTCCTACTGCTATATTTTTATTATTCAAGCATGGAATTTCTATCTATAGATATTCTATGGTACAGTTTGATTCATTTAAGATTTTTACTATATTTGACTCTGCTTTCTTTCACATATAGTGCCACTCCCCCACTAGCATGACCTACTCTGTCATTCCAACATATTTTGTATCCTGGTATTACCGTATTCCATTTATTATCATTTCACCAAGTTTCTGTGATGCCTATTATATCAATAACCTCATTTAATACCAGGTACTCAAGTTCACCCATCTTAGTATTTAGACTTCTAGCATTTGTATACAAGCACTTATAAAAGTTTGTCACTTTTTAGCTCTCTGACATTATGTGATGTAATTGAATGGGACTCTTTCATTTGACTGTTTCTCTTCAGTTCCTACCTGTACTTTATCAACTTCCATCCTCACCTCCTTACTAGGATATAGAGAATCCCCGTTAATAGAGCCTCCCGTAAAGGATGCCTCTGTCCAAACTGTGTGCTCTTCCGTACCCATCCGCTTTTTCCCAGCCCTTAGCCTGAAATGTCTATAACCTTTTCAACCTTACATGCCAGCAATCTAGTTTTGCGTTGGTGCAGGTGGAGCCCATCCCTCCCACATGTAGATCAA